AGTTGAAGCAAAGGCGCCAATTTCCCGATCCACCAACATTGATTTTGTTGGGCCCTTCTCTTTGATTAGGGGATGGAAAGGGCCCCAACCCCAGCCAGTGTGGTTAAAGCCAGGTCCTGGTCCTGGTTGGCCATGCTTATCTCAACCAACAGTACTGGAAAGGGTCTTTTGCCAACCTGTTCAGCCCATGTTCACAACAAAGTTCAAGAGTACCTGAAGAGATTGTAAAAAATTGGACATGTTTACGAGGAGGAAAGAGGACTCTGACGGATATGAAAAGCATTAATTGAACCTCTTTCTACATCGGTAGGCGGGAAAATGGAAAGTACGACGGAAAGGGTTTTGGTTATGAAACCACGATTGCCTAAGTCGTCACCGGTCCTCCCTCCTTCCCCTACTTACCTTTGCAGCAATTTTAATGGGAAAGAAGGAGAGAACCATTTTCCCTTTTAATGAATAACAATCCGTGCACTCTTGCTTATTTCAGTTCAGGGGATTTAGCTCTTTAGGCTGCAAGATTAATTGAGGGAAAAAAACACTATTTCAGAGTTCGAGCGTGAAACAAACTCTTAGCATCTCCTCTAAAAACATAAGAAAAGACTTGTAGGGCAATGGGTTGGTGGAGACTTTTTTTTTTTTCGAATAGCAGATTTCATTGAAAGAAGCAGAGTCACACAAATCAGTGAAGACTCCACATAGAGATACAAGAGCTGTACACAAAATGCAGGCTACACATCTCAAAACAAGGCAGCAAGCAAAGCCCCGAAACAGCAAAGGGGATCTGCATGCATGCCAGACACAGGAAAAAAAAAATGCACAAAACACAGTTATGGGTTGGACCCAGAATGGATGAACTTTGTTGGCATAATAATAGTCGTTTTTAATTTCATGTGTTTTATTCACCACAATGTCGCCAGTTGACCCAAAACGGCCTGTGAACCAGTCACCGCTACAACATTTACATGGGTACGCCGACACATTTGGCCACAGGTTGCTGTGATTTTATAATGACGGTTTACCATTAGATTATGATTGACCTTTATTTGGGGTAAACTTCAGTAACACCCCTTATGGTTTTATGTTTTCTCACTTAATATCTTGAGGTCTTATTCTATTTTCACAGTGGAGTAACAGTGTTAATTTAATTGAACAACACACAAAAACCCTAATCTTTAATTTAAATTTTCAAAGTTTTGCCACTAAAGTTATGAAAATTGAAAACTTGAACCATAAATTACAAAAATTTAAAATATAATCATCAAATCATAAATTTAAAACACAAAATAATTAACAATAAAATGAATCTCAACTTTTTGGAACAACTTGAAAATCTTTACTCAAGAGAGAAAATTCAAGTAGTTGAGGAAAGGAAGAGGCGAAGTAGAAATAGCGGCACATCATCAAAAGAAAAATGGAGGAGAGATGACGCTAGTTGTTGGAGAAGATAAAAGGTTATGTCCTGGAAAAAAGGAAGAGAAAGAAACGATGGTAAAGAAAGAGAGAAAAAAAAATGAAAATCGTCAATAGGAAACATTGGGTGTAATTGGAATTTTAAATTAATTAATTTGAGCATGTGATGGAAATTTGAGAAACCCTGACGCCTAATCCCATGATTGGAACAGAACAAGACCCCAGGATGTTAAGAGGGAAACCATCAAACCACAAGGGGTGTTATTGAAGTTTAACCTTTTATTGGAAAACAGGTTTTATAAATACACAGTACCTAAGAAATGAGATACAAGAACACACTTTCTATTGTGACGATTCATCAGAGACGACCCTTTGATGTAAAGCCACCAAGCCTTGCAAACAGCAGCAGCAGCAGCAGTAGTAGTAGTAGTAGTAGTAAAGCTCACGCCCACCTGTTCTTAATTCTAACCATTAAGCCATGCTTCATGTGAAGAATTATGCTGTGTTTTGGAGTCACTTTCTGACCTGCAATCACATGGACATTATAGTTGTGAATTATTGCCGCTGCCGTAGCCTTCATTACAATGAAAGCCAAGTCTTTTCCCAGACAGATCCTTGGTCCAGCATTGAAGGCTAAGAATTTGCTTGGCAGCTCACGTTTAATCTTTCCTTCCTCAGTGATCCACCTTTCGGGCTTGAATTCATTGCAATCCTTTCCCCATAACCATGTCATCCTTCCCATTGCATGTATGGCCATTACGACTCTTGTGTTTTTATCGAGGCAATGGCCAGTTGGAAGAATGTTCTTTTGAGTAGCTGTCCTAAATTCAAAAGGAACTGGCGGACATAACCTTAGTGTTTCACATAAAGTCGCGTGGAGATACGCCAGCTTATTCAACTCGTTTAAGGACGATGGTAGTTGACATTCCCCCACCTTTTTGGTTGACAAGTTTTTCTCCAATTCTTCTCTGATTTTAGTCTCAACCGAAGGGTTCTTGGAGAGGTGATAGAAGAACCAAGAGAGAACAGTACTGTTGGTGTCATCAGTGGCAAACATAATATGTATAAGGTTGTCCCTTATTACGCTATCACGTGGTGTTGGTCCTGTCACCTCATTTCCTGTCAAGTAACACTTTAAGAAATTGAAATTCTCTTCATCATCGTTCGATGCCATTGCTTTGTTGGATTTTTCGCGTTGAAGCGATATATATTCTGCTAGGAGATCGTCCAGAGCTTTCCAAGCACGGCTTCGTCTCTTCTCTTTTCCAATCTGAAGCCAACTTAGCAGCTTCCACAGGTTGTCAGGCATGATATACCGATAAAACGCCGTCTCCCAAGCATCACTCATGGCATCGTGGAATCGGTTTTTAGGATATTCAAGAGACAGCAGCTGAGGGTTACTTCCGGTAGCCATCATGCAAGCGATATCAAACGCATGCCTCGCTAACAAATCTTGCAAATCCACTACCAGGTCTCCTTTAGAAACATGCTCTAGTACTTTAATAAGCCCTTGCTCTATACGATCCGGAATGAGCTTTGCCATTGATTTGTGGAACTGTGGGTGGTTCAAGAAGGCATGGAAAATTTTCCTTTGGCTTTTCCATGCCTCACCATCGGAATTGAAAAGCGCTTCTCCGAAAATATCAAATTGCTTCATCCATTCGGATCCTTTCGGATATATTGAACTGTTTGTGCTCATTATGTAGCGCACATTCTCAGGATCACATGTACCAAGGAAACTTGTATTGGTAAACCAGATTCCTTTGTACATATAAGTGCCCTTGCATTTTTCCAGGACTTCAGGAACTATTTCATGCATCCGATGAAAGTGGAGAAGCATTGTGGGAAGCATGCCAATAAGTGGCCAGCTCCGGGGAAGGCCACTGTTATCAAGGAAACGAAGTAGAAAACGAAGTAAAATGAGCGTGAAGGCAATGTATACAACATAGCCGGAAACTGCCATCTTGGTTTGGTTTTGCAAGGCTAGAAGTTCCATAGCCAGGCCACTTCTGAACCAGGGCTTCTATTTATGGTTAGGCAAGGTGGGGTATGTATTACCTCTAATTGCATAAGATCTTTGTGAAATCAAGCCCACATGCAACGCAATTACTCTCTTCCCAATTTAACGCTTCAAAAACCGAGAGGTTGTTGAGCATTTATAATCACGAATTGGTCAGTTGCCTGTGCTCTGAATTGTGGTGTCTCTTCAATGACAATGATGATAACTTTTTTTTTTGTAATTGAGAGAAAGAATTCAAACTTTGATTTTTAAGTAAAAATCATTCACTACTTAATAATTCAAATACTCGTATACTATGATGACTTTAATTGTCAAAGCAAATTATATATATAAACCACAAAGCCCTATCTTTATTTATGAGTTATTAAAAAAAAGGAAACTAATTAAGATTAGATATGGTCATTTATCAATTGCACTGAGTTTTGGGTTGATTAAACTTGAAAATCTTCTTTGATTAAGATTTTAGTTTGTGTTTAGTTGAATAGTTTTAAATTTCTTGTTTGTTCTATTCTTATTTTATTTTGGATTTTTGTATTATAAAATGGATCTCTAAGAAATAGCATATTTAGAAGCTTTAGAGATGAAAACTTTATAATTTTATCTTGTGCTCTAGATAGAGCTAGAATGGGTGTGAATAAGTGTTCTTGTAAGGATATTGAGAGAAGATGTGTACAACAAGTCTTAGGATTGATTTGAAAAACTATTAAAAAAGATTTTATTGTACTTTAATTTATCAATAATAAAAGAACCATTTACTTCACAAACATAAGCAAAAGGCTGAACTATATAAATTCTTATTTTTTATTTATTTGATTTTTTTAGATCTTATATTTGTTATTGTTTGGACAATTTTCATAACAAATTATTGTGAGAAAAAAAAGTTCAAAAGTTTGATATTCCTATAGTAACTTAAATCTTTGGTTGTTGTAAAAGGAATTCTTATGATAGAAAGATGAAACGTTACAAACAAGTAAAAAAATGTGCTAGAAGCGGCAGAAAAAAAGATTGGAGCAATTCCTATAACATTGAGTGTTGTGACAGGTGAAAAACAATAAGAAGAAGATTAATTTAATGACGAGGGCCGCATTTTTTCTATGCTACTAATACGTGTACTTGCTCTGCTATTCTGTCCAAGCCTGGCTGAGGAAGAGTTACAGGGCGTAAAACAAAAAAAATATGCTTATTTTGTTTTGGTCGGGAATACTATATTTTAAAGTAAATATATGATAAATAATAAATAAAAGGTCACTCCATTTAAGAAGTGGAAGAGAATTAAGGAGAGAATTTAGAGAGAGAAGCTTTGGAAGATCATCTGTTAGCTCAAGGGATATGACCCCTTTAAATGAATTATGAGGCTCTATATATGGTGCTAAAAGTAGCGGTTACTCAAGAATAGGCTTTAATACACCTCATGAATAGCATTATTGTGAATATCTTTAATGTGAGTAACCATTACTGTGATTGGTGCAACAAAACTTGTTTTCAAGTAAAAGGTAATAAAGAAGAGATATATGTAAAAAAGTATAAGAGAAGAAGCTGTACATGAATAAGTACAAGAGAAAAAGGTATATGTGAATAGGTATACAAGAAGAAGGTAAGATGGTAAAACATTTGTTCTTTAAGAAAAGGTCACGAGAAATACTTCTTAACCACCTCCATATCTAAGTCACTAAGCTAAACTCTTCAGAACATCTTAAGATGAAAGTAACTTATGAACCCTGTCATTTATTTTAAGTTGCTTTTACTGTCGTTCGTGTGAAGTGATTGCTCTGTGCGAAGTAACTGTTCTACTTGTATTAGTTATTCAATATGGAGTAGTGCTTTACTTATTCTAGTTATTCTGCGTGAAGTAACGCTTTATTTGTTCTATTTGATTTGCATAAATTAATATTTTATTTATTTTAGTTGTTCTATGTGAAGTAGCGTTTCACCCATTTAAGAATTAATAAATAATTACAATTACAATTTATTTTTCTTATTTGTATATTAAAAGTGGATGGAAAGAAAAGATTTGAGGACATAATTGTTATAAAATGATCGATTTCGTTTGGTAATCAAAAAATAACTTGTTGAGAGAAAAATTTTTCTGTGTAAAATATTTTATAGGAAAATGTAATGTTTTCTATTATTTGAATAAATTGTCAAAACACTTTTCTAGTTGTTTGGATCATTATGTGAAAAATATTTTTCACCATCATTGTTGGAGTTGAGTGTTAAAATGATAAATAAGAGTTGATTACAAAATAATGGTGTCATTTGATTCCGACCAATTTCTGATCAAAATTAAGGATGAAAATGAAAATGAATAAAATAAATAATAATATTTTTCAAAATATTTAACCACATATATCCAATGAAAGTAAACCCTAAACACTATAAAAATATTAATGTTTATCAATTGTGTAAAACATCACATTTTATATTTATTAATGTGTATTCATTAAGTGATGATTATTGAAATATTTTTTATTATAATTATTAGTAAAATTTATTCAATTTATAAATAAAAATTTTAATTGCATTGAATGATTTAATTAAAAAATATTTTTTAATTTTTAATAGTATTGAATAATTTAAATATTAAAATTTTAAGTTAAAATATTTTAATTAAATATTATTTTTTAATTTTTTAATATTTTAAGTTAGATATTAACATTTTTTGTATTTTTTAATATTTTAAGTTAAATATTAATACTCATCAAATTTTTACTACTGTGTTTAGTATAAAATATTTTTTCAATTTTTAAATCTATACCACTATGTTTAGTATAAAATATTTTTTCAATTTTTTTAAAAATGTCTTACGCCTCTCGATGGTGTAAAACATTTTCTATGATCAATGCATATTTTTTTTATTGACTTTGTAAAATATTTTACATCTAGACAAAATTTTTCATCTTACAAATAAGTATAAAACAAACCCTAATTTAAAAAAGTTTTTTTTTCATTTATATGAAAATTAGATTTTGAGATTGTAAGAAAACAAATTGTTAATTTATCTAATTTTTAATTAAAAACGAATAAATTTATATATTTTGTACTTTTAATATTTTAAAAATGAAAAATTATTTCACTTTATAGCTGCAAATACAAAATTAAATAAAGTAAATTCTTATATATATATTTTAGCAATTTTCTTAACATTGTCAATCCTCTGCATTAAATAGCGGTGCAGGCAGACGTTTGCCTTTAATGACCCATTTGGTAATTTTCAGGAATTGACCATAGCTAATTAACAAGCTAGTGGCAGGGCAAGGCATTTAATACCACCAAACCCACCCGTAAATATGACGACTTCTGCAACTACCTGCATGGAAATAAATAAATTGAATGGGAACGTATCCGTCGAAGATTCGTCGGCCGGCACGCCAGCTTTGTTTTGGCCCCAAGAAATAGCATGCATTTTTTATATATATATATAAAAAGTAAGCTTCTCTCATTAAGTGATGAAAGAACAGAATTTCTTGCGTAAATCTTTGGCTCTTAGCGTCTCTCTGAAACAAACCTAAAATTTTATTCAAGAATGTCTTATGAAGAAGACATGCGCTACATCCTTATCTTATTTTTTGTAATCATAAGAAAATCAAAGAAAAATAAAACTAGCTGTTCGAGTAGATTAAACAAAGATTAAAACAGTTTATTAGCACGTTAATTCTGTTAACAAAGTAAAATAGGACACTAAGACACCACGCAGTGCTGTATGGGATCTTCTTTGTTTCTCGTATTCCAAGGATTAGTAGTGCCAACGGAATAGTGGTACCACCATGAACCTCATGCCGCCCGCCTTACAATGGACGCCATTACGTTCACCGCAAGCGAAGTAATGGGGTCTCCACCTCTTAAGCACAAACTCGAACCCATCCCCGCCTCCTTGCGTTGGGTTTGCAATCATCTTTGCTCTCTTCAAGTCGCAATTCAGGTAGCTCCAAAAGTCATGAAATAAGTAGACGCTGTGAGGGAATGTGTTGTTGGTTGGTGGGTCGTACTTGAACACTGCAATTAAACCACTGTCATCAATGTCGACATTTATAGAAAGTTTTTATTTTGTTTTGTTTTGTTTTTTCTTCTTTGAAAATTATAGAGCAGCTTTCATCGAACCTGGGAGAATGAAAAGGTTCCCACCAGTAAGAGGGACATAAACGAATACATGAAGAAAGGGTATTGCTCGATATGCACTGAGGTAAAGTTTCTATTTTGTTGTCAGGGAAGAAAATGGTAAAGAAGCTTAACTCACCAAGAGTATCATTGAAGTAAAACGGTGCATTTTGGAACGCCCATTCGGAGTAGTTGAACCCGAAATGCCAGTTCTCTGAACCACCCACAATGATTTTGTTGGGGCCTGCTGTTTCATTAAGGGGTTGATTATGATGGGAGCCCCAGCCCCAGCCCCAGCCCCAACCAGTGTAGTTAGAGCTATGGCCCCAGTCCCTGTTGCCCATGCTTCCTCCCAACATGGAAGCAGCTATCAGAGCAAGGATGAGTCCATGTGCATGTGTGAAACCCATGTTCACAGCCCAAGTAATTTCAAGACCAAATACTGAAGAAAAAGATTGTACAACTCGATGTTGTTGGCATTGGCAGGGTAGTGGAAGAGGCTTATATAGGGGTGAGAGGAGGTAGAAAATGGTGCTAATCTGCCAAATTGACCCTTTGTCTGAGTTTGGGTAGGCGAGGAAGTTGAAATATGATGCAATATGGTTTTTCTATAAGAGAATTACACGTTTTCTCTAAGTCGTCCACGCTTGTTCAATGAGTGATATCCAACTCTCCCATACACCACAGAATGAAATCAATTATGGTTTTTGGGGCCTTTTGGCACTTGAAGTTGAAAAAAATTGAAGATAAAATGGTACATAAAATTAGTATATCAATAAACAACTCTTTTTCATTTTACACAAACCTTACTAGGAAACGTGGATTGGTAGGCAATTAGTGAAAACATAGCGTAATCATTTCTTGCTATTCTTTCTATTTCTTTTCTTTTCTTTTTTTTTTTTATCATGAGCTTAAAAGTTTGGTTTGTGAAGAAGTGTTGGAGTCAAACGTACATACCATAACCATTTAGCCAAAAAAAAACCAAGTCAAAAGGTGTATAGATCATGCCACTTAGAGAATTGATAGAAACATTAAACATGCATTGGCATACGTTTACATGATGTTATACTGACGAGTTAATCAATTAGCAAATGCTTAATCGTTTTGAGAAACTAATTAACAAAAAAATCCCATATTCAGTTTTTTTCTTCCTTTTTGAAGACAGAAAATCATATATTCTTTGAATTAACTATATAATATTTTACCACATCAAAATTAAGTACTAATTAATATTCAGTTAAAGTATATAACGATAAGTAATTACTATTCTTTCGTATCGGTAAACCTGAAATTATTTGAAATTATTGATGCATTATTGCAATTCATAAAGGAGCTTACCCTTGCTTACTTTCATATCTATTGAAATTTGCCCTTGGATATTAATTTTGTCCACCAATCACATGATGAAAATCAAGAATTACAGCAATGAATTAAAAAAAAAAATGGGGCAGTGATCTTCAACCAGCAATGACACCAGTGTTTGTTCATGAATCATGTTTGCTTTTTTGCTTATATACTATTAAATAACAATCATGGCGAAGTCAATAATCTCCTGCAGTATGACACAACTATGACAAGTTTCATGTCGACAATTGAACTCTGCTCATTGACAAAAGAGTGTCGTAATGCACATTCTTTTTGAACAAATTCCGACAGATGGACGAAGTCTGCAGGAGATTTTCGGAGAAGACTAATATCTTTGGACTTAGATTGGCGGCTTTATGCCTTTTAGGTGGGAACCAAGGTTGGTGAAGTTCAACGATATTTCTTGCCTCATGGAGACCGTGGACTCATGGTTTCAGTTCTTTAGGTTCGTTATTGTAAAAATACCAGAAAAATGGAAATAACCCAATTAAATAAGCATGGCTACGGACCTTTATATTGACTCTCATTGGTTTTTTCATTCTGGCTCACGACTTTCGTGCATATCACTAACTTTAAAGAGGTTTGAGGAGATTTGGTACATGAACTGAACATAAAAAGGACTACTGAGCGATGAGGTTGATAAATATACCGTAAATATTGAAGTGTATAACTCTTTTTTGGGGGACGAAGGGTTTCCGTTTTCCAATGCAAAAAACCTATGGATAGAGGGAATTAGTAGATTCTGTGTTAAAACAAATTGTTTTTGAATGATTAATGTGGAATTGATACACATTAATGGGACGACCTTGGGCCTCAAGATTGTTGCAGGACTCGCATTTGAAGCAGAAAAGAAGTCATAGATCCAGTAGGAAACCAATGCAGCAAAACCCAAAGCACTAAGTAGCAAATCTATGAGAACGAAAACATTTTCTTCGGGAAAAGCAATCGCATTAAATTAAGAAATTACAAGCTTATATTGGAGAACATGGCCTGAGACTGAAAGCGATGAATTCGTGCCTTGGCTAGCGAACCTCTAATTCATTGAACATTATTAATCTCAGCTTATTCTTCTTTCAATCAAGCTAAAACAGGGAAAAAGAAAAAAGGCTCAATACAATGTTGTGAACAAAAATGATATGGAACACAGGCACTGCATCTTCCCCGGATTCTAAGCCTCGTGTCCGTCAGTAGTTCCAACGGCGCAGCGGAACCACAGCGAATTTCATAAGACCAACGTTGCAATGGAAGCCATTACGTTCACCACAAGCAAAGTAATAAGGTCTCCACCTCTTCAACACGAACTCAAACCCATTTCCACCTCCCTGAGTTGGGTTTGCAATCATCTCAGCTTTTCTTAAGTCACAGTTGAGGAAGCTGCGCAGGTTGGGGAGCAAGTAGACACTGTGAGGAAACGTGGTGTTGCTTGGTGGATCATATTTGAACACTGCCAAACGTATATAAAAAAATATCAATTTCCCAGCTCCATTTTGAAATAAAAAAACCAACAGAATCGAGAATTTTAAGATCTAACTTACCTAGAGTATCTTTGAAGTAGAAGGGAGCGTTTTTGAGAGACCAATCGGTGTAGTTGACACCAAATCGCCAATTCTGTGATCCACCAACAATGATCTTCTTGGGGCCATTGGTATGATTGTGGGGATGATGGGAGCCCCAGGCGGAGTGGTTAAAGCCATAGCCCCAGTCCTTGTTGGCCAAGCTTACTCCCAACATGGAAGCAGCAAACAGCACTAGAACAAGTCCTTGAGCAAATGTAAATCTACCCATTTTGTCAGTAAAGTTTAAAGAGTGAAAGAAAGTAGAACAATTCGATGTTGTTGGTGGCAATGGGAGGATGACCAGACAGGCTTTTATAAGGAAGACCGAGTGAGAGAAAGTTGTTTTAAGTGCTAATATGCCCAAATGAACCCATTTCAACATTGGTAGGCAAAAATGGGAAAAGTGATATCACAGGTTAATGTTGACATTTTCTTTAAGTCATTCACATTCCATTATGGTCACTTTTCCCATTCTTCATCCTTTTATTCTTTCTTCTTCTGATTTTTCACACTATTTATATGCTACTTGGATGACCAAAACGATGTGTCATAGTCAATTTGTTCCCTAAAAAACTAAAGTGTCAAAGTTAACCGTATATAGTGGATAGTGGATATCTAATTAAAAGTCAAAGATTTAAAAATACCAAACCTTAAAATTCATTTGTGGGACTAACAAGAAAATAGAAACAACGATCATACGCTTGCATGATGTAACAATGACGAATAAATTACAAACAAATAAAACAGAAATATATTGATTGTTAGATTTAACAATGTATTTGTACTTGTCATGCATGTATAGTTTTAAATTAATGTGATATCCATATTATATATTGATCCAGAATATTATATTTTTAATTTATTTAATGATTGAAAATTTATTATTTCAAATGAGTATTTAGACATTTTTAATGAACTTAAAGTTTGAAAAGAATAATCTATGTTACAAAATATAAAATTTAATGGTGAATTAACTAAATATAAATCGTATAAAAAATAATGAAAGAGTGTAAAACTAATTGTAAATGGGTCCTCCTCTTTATATATATTATAGATAATGAATTAATTTCAAAAGGTTGAAATTAAGATTTTTTTAATTCTTAAAATTGTTGAAATATATAATTTGAATTTTTCTCCTCCAACTTAAACTAAAGAAACATAAACAATTCACTAAAAATATATTTAGAAATATTTTACATATGTTCATTTATAGTTTGATATATATACAATGGATTAATTTTTAATGTTCAAGCAAATTAAAAGGGTATTAAATTTGTGAACTATAAATGGATTGAACTAATCAATGTAATGTAGTTTAATTGTAAAACGATGAATTATTCTTTTAATCTTATTTTCATACATTTGATTATTGAAATTGTCTATAATATTATACAACATATAGAGAGATTATTCACGCGGTGACAGTGAAGGACCAAAGGCAACACTAACTGATACCGATGAAGTACCATTTTCACATGTCAAATGATTGGGATCAAACAGTATAATACTCTCAATCTTATTGTAGAACCAGTATTGTTTAAAATACCAGAGGACTTTGCAACAACTTCCAACTGTTTAATTATGGCTATATGCAAAGATTGAGGGCTAGCTACAGCTGATCAACTCCATCTATTCTTAATCCTAGCCATTTAGCCATGCTTTATGTGGAGAACCTTCAACCACTTGGACGTTGTAGTAATGAAATATGGGTGTAATTGTAGCTTTCATCATGATTAGAGCCAAATTCTTTCCTGGACAAATCCTTGGCCCTGCATTGAAGGAAAAGAATTTGCTTGGGGGCTCACGTCTAAGCTTTCCTTCCTTCGTGCAAGAAAAATATGATATTGTTCCGTATGAGATTACTATTAGGAGTCGTCCCTGTCACCTCTTGTTCTGTTTAAGTAACACTTCAAAAAATTGAAATCGTCTTCATTTTCATTTGATTCCGTTGCCTTCATTGTTTTTTCACGCTGAATTCATACATATTCTGCAAAAGGATTGTCGAGGAATCCAAGCATCGCTTCGCTTCTTTTCTTTCCCAACCTGAAGCCTACTTTGCAGGTTCCACAGGGTACCAGGTATCATAACTCCTGAAACGCTGCTTTCCAAGAATCACTAGAGGCTTTAAAGAATCTATTCTCAGGGAATTCGGTCGACAGAAGTTGGGGGTTATAGCCGGTGGCCATAATGCTGGCAATATCGAATGCATGTGTCACGAACAAGTCTTGCAAGTTCACCTCTAGCTCTTGTTTAGCGGCATGTTCTAGTACTTTAACAAGCCCTTGCTCAATACGGTCGGAAGCGATCTTTGCAACAGATTGGTGGAATCGTGGGTGGTTCAAGAAAGCGCGGAACGATCTCCTATGCCCCTTCCACACCTCACCATCGGAATTGAAAAGCCCTTCTCCGAATATATCATAATACTTTCTCCATTCTGATCCTTTGGGATATATTGAATTTGGATCACTGGTAGCCAGGAAACCTGTGTCAGTAAACCAGATTCCTTTGTATGAGAAATTTCCATTGCTTCTTTCAAGGTCTCATGAATCCTATGGAAGTGGAGAATAATGTTGGATACATCCCAACAAATGGAAAATTGAGAGGGAGATCAATTTTATATAGGAAACGATAGAGAAAATAAAGAAGATCAAGCATTCAAGATAGCCGCAGAATGCCATCATGTTCTTTTGCAAGGCTAAAAAGTTGCCTAGATACTAATAGACTTACAGTTGTGGGTTTGTCGCTATACCCCAAGTTACATTTAAACTAGCCTAGTGTTTATATACAAACTAAAGAAGGGTAGCTTAGCAGCACCTACTTTCCGTACTCTAATCAAGTCCAAGCTCACCCGAGTTATTCCCACATGTTTGCTTGCGCATAATTAGATCATCTATTTCCAAACCAAAACTCCAAGGGATATTTTTTTCCCTCCAGACATATACCTTTCTACGTACAAATTAATTAAGGAAAATATTCTTGACCCTATACACTTCTATCTAAGTATAGTTTTTTTTTTAAAAAAAGAAAATCATTTGTCAACAGGTGATGATTAAATTTAATAATACTATTTACTTGGGATGTATAAAATACGATTTATTTATTTATTTATTTATTTTATAGAGGTGCAGAGGATCCAAGTCCAAATTAATCTATACGTGATCTTCCTCGTTTCCCAGACGTTCCATGCCTCCCCGATTCCTCAGTAATCTCCAAAATCTATACCTAAAACTTAACTATCTTACAATAAAAAATGACTAGTTTTTGCATTCGAAGAGCGGCCGGATGGTGATTTTGGTGATTCTGGACCGATCTTGATGAAAGTGAAGGAAATGGGAGCGCGGCCCATTTGTAATGTAAGGGGAAGGCCCTCATATGAAAGCTAAAATCTATAGAACGTAGAGGGTAAGCCAGCTATGGAATGGGCCGACCTAGGAAGCCCATGGTGCTACTCTCACTTACACACAAATAATTGTAGGCACAAAGGTTTTGGAATTTCAGCACTCAATAACTTACTAATAAATGAGAAAATCACTATTTACACATCTCAAATGGATGGAATTGATTTAATTATGTACATATATATATATATATATATATATATATATATACACACACACACACGAGTGCCACCATGTGACTCAGAGAGGTGCAGGGTCACAATACACTGTCTGAAAATAATAACATTTTAGAAGACGTAAAGCCAAGTAACACTACGCATGGAGTACTACAGCTCAATTCCACCTGTTCTTAATCCTAACCATTAAGCCATTCTTCATTTGATAAAACGCACTGTTTTTTGGAGCAATGTTTTGGCCTTCAATCACATGCACGTTGTAGTTGTGGAGTATTGCCGTTGCCGTAGCCTTCATCAGGAAAAACGACAACTCTTTTCCAGGACAAATCCTTGGTCCTGCAAGGAAGGCGGAGAATTTACTGGGTGCCTCACGCTTAAGCTTTCCTTCCTCCGTGATCCACCTATCTGGCTTGAATTCATGGCAATCTTCTCCCCATAAAAATTCCATCCTGGCCATTGCTTGTATTCCTATTATGATTCTCATATTTCTATCGACGCGATGCCCGCTTGGAAGAATGTCTTGCTGAGCGCATGTCCTGAATTCGAAAGGAATAGGTGGACATAGCCTTAGCGTTTCGCAAAAAGCTGCATGGAGATATGTTAGCTTATTCAGGTCGTTGAAGCAAGATGGTATTTGCAATCCCCCTTCTTCTTTCATTGATAAGTTTTTCTTCACTTCTTCTCTTATTTTGTTTTCAGCCATGGGATTCTTGACGAGGAGATAGAAGAACCAAGACAGAACTAAACTGTAAGTATCGTCACTGGCAAACAAAAAACGTATAACGTTGTCCCTTACAAGACTATCACTTGGTGTTGGGCCAGTCACCTTATGTCCTGTCAAGTAACACTTCAAAAAATTGAAATTATCCCCTTCATCTGCGTTTGATGCCATTGCTTTGTTGGATTTTTCACGTTGAATTGATATATATTCTGCTAAAAGCTCGTCGAAAGCCTTCCAAGCTTCCCTTCGTCTCTTCTCTTTCCCTATCTGAAGCCAACTCTGCAGCTTCCATAGACTGTCAGGCATGACATATCTGTAAAAAGCTGCCTCCAGAGTATCACTCATGGGTTTGTGGAATCGGTTTTCTAGGAATTCAAGGGAGAGTACCCCAGGGTTACAGCCGGTAGCCATTATGCAACCAATATCAAATGCATGTCTTACAAACAAATCTTACAAGTTCACCACTAGCTCTCGTCTCGAAACATACTCTAGTACTTTAACAAGCCCTTGCTCTATACGATCCTCAAGGATCTTTGCAAGTGATTGGTGAAATTGCTGGGGATTTAAGAAAGCATGAAAAATTTTCCTATGATGTTTCCATACCTCACCATCGGAATTGAAAAGTGCTTCTCCAAATATATCAAATTGCTTCAACCACTCGGACCCCTTCAAATATGCTGAATTGTTTGTGCTCAAAATATAACGCACATTCTCAGGATCGCAGGTGGCCAAGAAACTTGTGTTAGTAAACCAAACTCCTCTATACCGAAAGGTGCCATTGCTTCTTTTCAGGACTTCGGCAACTTTCTCATGAACCCTGTGGAAGTTGAGAAGTAATGTTGGAGTCATCCCAACAAATGGCCAGTTTCGTGGGAGACCATTGTAATGTATGAAGCGATAGAGAAAACGAAGAATAACAATTGCCAAGATCATGCATCCAAGATAGCCAGACACTGCCATCATGTTGACTCTTAAGAATGCTTAAAGGTTGTTTATGGCATATTCTCAATCAACCCAATCTATACATATAGGTGTAGCCTTGCCCCTAATGAGTCACAATCAGAACAGCATTGCTATCTATAAATGAGAGGTTGCCAAGTGGCCATGGATTTAATGACCCAAATATGGAACACTACTGTAAGACTGCAAATTGAGTCGTCGGCTTAATATTTTCCATAAATCTGAATGCATGAAATTGGTCCATCCCTCCATTAATATCACATATGGTCCTCATCCAATTAATCCTCCAATTTGACGGTCCCTTTTGAGCATGTTTATCCACATCCCCATGCCAATGCTATCAATAAACGTTGGCAATTGTTCATCCAAGTCATACATATATGCCTCATAATTCTAGTTCTAGTATACCTACAAATCATATATAAATGCCATGCGGTTGCGAAAGTTATAAATTAATTGAAATTTGGCCAAGTTGACCTTACATTTGATTGCTAAGATGAAAATTATGTTGGAAGGCTCCCCTAACTAACAAGCTTAGCTTGCCCAACTTGTTCATACACGAACTCATAGTTGCTCCATCTGGTGCTGGTATGGTATTAGAGGAAAATCATTCAACCAACTAGTCCAAATCAAAGCGGTCAAATTCTGTATATGAAGATTTTAAAGTTTGAAGGTGAGGGAACATATTGGAGATAAATGGTAATCTTGGGACAATCTTAGATAAACCAAGATAGGTTTTCCGATAAAAATCATAATTTAATTTGAATTAATCTATCTCTCCTATACACTAAAAAAACATAATACCTTCCAATAAAACTATTGATGCCAAACTTAATCCCGAATAAGATTTTATTCTACAAGAGGACATTTTTGAGGATATTGCACTATAGCATTTTTGATTAATTAGGATTGTACATTTTCGAAAGTGCTATTAAAAATATATTTAGAAATATTTTTTGTATATTTTTACAATATATTTAGAAATTTAACTGTATTATATAAATTCTTAACAATATTATAAATAAATTATAATTATAAAAATTCATACACTAACAAAAATTGTAATTTTAATATTGTTAGTAAATGTGAAAAAAAATAAAATTAAAAATGTAAATAACTGTACTTTTTAAAATTTCATTACATATATTGTCTAAAGTGCTTAGCAAAAAAATAGTATAGTTATATATATTGTCTAAAGAAGTGAAATTAAAGCCAGAATTTATAAAAAAAAACAATATATGGATTAAATTGAGCTGAAAATTAAGTACATCCAAGTTTTAATTAATCCCTAAATCAATAATTTCAATAAAGTGCAAGTGTAATATTGTGTCATATATATATATATATTCTATTTAATGCTCATCTTCTACTCTGCGAAACAATAAAGCTGTCGTAATCTATTCTTTCAGTCGTCCCCTGGAACTATATCCCTTTAATTTGTTGCATTTGGTCAGCAATGGCTCCGTTTAAGTCAACATATGTAGGAAGCTCCATATATAGCACGCAAGCCGGTTGCTTGGTGCATGGATCAGACTTAGTGGACAGAGACCAATCATGTGTCAACATTTATTGAAGATTTAAAGGGTTATCTGATTTTCCTCCTTCCTCATTACTTGCATTTTTTAGTGTAAAGTTGGGAATGGGCTATCGGGTGGAAAGCATTGTGCTGGAATATTTATATAAGCGTTCATAACCTATACTAAAATTGTATTTAAAAAAAAAACAATGAAGAATATATTTCAATGTTCCATCCAAATACCATTAACATAAATAGGAGTATATTACTTTCTATAAAAAATATTTTCCTTAAGAAAGTCATATTATTTCAATAAAAGCAAATATTGAAGCTTTAATCTTATTTTACATATGCATATATAGTTGGGGTAACTTATTAGTCCTTAAAACATAAAAGCTAAGCAAAACACGAGCTATAGTTTGCACTATGTTCTGAAGGCTTACCACAGTTCATCATTTCCATCTATTCGTAACCCTAACCATTAAGCCATGCTTCATGTGAAGGAAAGCACTATTTTTTGGCGTCACGTTCTGGCCTTCAATGACATGAACATCATAGTTGTGGATTATAGGTGATGCTGTAGCCTTCATTAGAAAAAAGGACAACTCTTTTCCTGGACAAATTCTCGGTCCTGAAAGGAAAGCAGAGAATTTACTTGGCGGCTCACGTTTGAGCTTTCCTTCCACAGTGATCCACCTCTCGGGCTTGAATTCATGGCAGTCTTCTCCCCACAACCATGCCATCCTTCCCATCGCATGTATGGCTAATATAATTACCATTTGTGGATTGACCCGATGTCCGCTTGGAAGAATGTCTCGCCGAGTAGATGTTCTAAATTCAAAAGGATTAGGTGGGTATAGCCTCAGTGTTTCACATAAAGCAGCTTGGAGATACGGTAGCTTATTCAACTCATCGAAGGACGTCGGTAGCTGCAATTCCCCTACTTTTTTCCATGACAAGTTTCTTTTCAGTTCCTCTCTTATTTTAGCTACAACCGTAGGATTCTTGGAGAGGAGATAGAAGAACCATGTGAGAGCTGTAGTGTAAGTGTCGTTAGCGGCAAACAAAAAATGTATAACATTGTCCCTGATAAGACTATCACTAGGTGTTGGTCCAGTCACCTTATGTCCTGTTAAGTAACAGTTTAAAAAATTGAAATTCTCTTCATTTCCGCTCCATGTGATTGCTTTGTTGGATTTCTCACGTTGAATCGATATATGTTCTGCTAAAACATCGTCAAAATATTTCCAAGCATCGCTTCGTTTCTTCTCTAATCCAACCTGAAGCCAACTCTGCAGCTTCCACAAGCTGTCAGGCATGATACATCTGTAAAACGCTGCCTCCAAAACATCACTCATGGCTTTGTGGAATCGATTTTCTGGAAATTCAATGGAGAGAAATTGAGGGTCAGAACCAGTTGCCAGTATCCAACCAATATCAGATGCATACCTTACAAGCAAATCTTGCAAGTCGACTACTAGCTCTTGTTTAGAAACATGCTCTAGTACTTTAATAAGCCCTTGCTCTAGACGCTCCCGGAGGACCCTTTCAAGGGATTGCAGAAATTGTGGATGATTCAAGAAAGCATGAAAAATTCTCCTTTGACGTTTCCACTCCTCACCATCGGAATTGAAAAGCGCTTCCCCGAATACATCAAATTGCTTCCTCCATTCGGATCCTTTTACATATGCTCTATAGTTTGTGTTCATTAGATACCGCACATTCTGAGGATCGGCTGTGGCCAGGAAACTTGAGTTAGTGAACCAGATTCCTCTATATAGGATGGTGCCATTGCTTTTATCCACGATTTCAGAAACTTTGTCAAGAATCCTGTGGAAGTTGAGAAGTAACGCTGGAGTCATCCCAACAAATGGCCAGTTTCGGGGGTGACCATTGCTATCTACGAAGCGATGGAGAAAACGAAGAAAAGGAATAGCCAAGATCAAGCATACAAGATAAACAAACACACCCATCACGATTCTGGAAGGATATAGATTCAAAGTTGCTAAGAACAGATTCTCAATCAGGGCGCTTTATATGGTTGCAGTCGCCGTGCATTCAATAAGTAAGTCACCATGAAATTAGCTTTGTATTACCTATAACGAAACGTTTCCATCCACTATGCAAAATTTCTAATTAAACTTTTATATTATAAATTGAAAAAAAATTATTGATTTTATATATAAGATAAAAATAGTCGTTAGTGATCATCAAATATATATTACCTTAATTGATTAGAAATAGAAAAAATAATTAAAAATTAATAACATTGTGAGAATTGATAAATGATAAAAAATTAAAATTTTTTAGGTACATAATTTGAGAAGTAAGAGAATATATAATTTTATTAATTATCTTAAACTTTAAATATATTTCATGCAATATAAAATAAATAGTTAAAAATTAATAACGTCATGCAAGGTGAGAGAAAATAAATATTTATTAAATATTTAATTTAAAAAGTAAAAAATATGTAAATATTTTATTAATTATTTTAAATTTTATATATTTTTAATAAAATTAATTATATTATTATAAAATTTTGAAATTTATAAAAAAAAATTGAAACCTAAAGTTAGAGTTTTGATGATTTTAAGCTAGAGTCGGGCCCAGACTGTACTACATGTGAAGGGGGGTAGAGGCACTCAAATCATAAATACCATGGTTGCTAATTTACAACAAGTACACTTGGAGGAAAAGTCAGCAATTAGGTAGTAGTAACCAGAAGAGTATTAGAGTTTTGATGACAAAACCCTCATTCCTATATCATTTAAACCTTCTTTACTTGACCTGTGTACACAACAAAAAACCAAAATCAAACCAGTCTGATTGTAATGGAATCAAACCATAACTCAAGACACAATCACACAAAGTTCTCCGCGGACCAAAGTCTAAGAAGATCGCTAAGCAGATCAAGTTCTCTCCAAAATGAAAATTTTGGTGAAACATGTAAAGAATTGATTCCTAAGCTTTACATGCATGTTAAGAATATACGTCGTCTCCAAAAGACACTTCAGCAATTGATAAAATAAAAATGAATGTTAATTCGTTGCTGATGGAACAGCATTGGAGGGCAATTTGTCAACCAACCGAAGAAGGACTAGAAAGGGTGAAGGGCAATCAATCAAGATCTGCTGCCATTCGCTGTAGTTACATTTATTGATTAGAGTTAGGTTGTTTGGTAAAAGTCATATTTAAATTTAAGGGTTTAGGTGGGGTTGAAGTCTAATTATTATAGTCTCAGCGTGGAAAAATTTTACATTGAAAAGATATGTTTCCAATTTTAAATAGAACTATAAATCTCACGTCAAAATAAAATAAAATAAATAAAAAATATCATAATTTTAAAAATATTATAAATTTTACGTCAATTATATATTAAAAATCATACTAAACATTTAAGAGTTCATTTCATCATCAACAAACCGTGCAGTCATTTCCACCGCATTAACTCCCTTGAATCCCGCTGACCAGTGCAGTGGGAACTGCAACGTCCGCTCCCTTAGTTGGTCATGGCCAACCGTCGGCATTGAAGCTGTTAAGGCTGAGAAATAGTACTAGAAAAAGGTCATCTTGGGGTGAGAGGAAGAGATCTCAGAATGATACAAATTGACGAAATTGACCTTTTTCCTATCTTACTTAAAACTTGAAATTTGAACCTTGTTATGGCCGGTCCAGATAGAAGTGATTATGGGTGGAATTAATAAAAATAATCTTAACCAGGCGGAGTTCCATGACAAGAGCTTATGACCACAGTGAGTGTATTAAGTAATTTATTATTAATTAAAAGTAAAACCTAAAGACAAAGATGAAAAAAACCAAAGGTTTAGTAATTGCCTCAGAATGTGTTGCTGTACGAAATTCGACGCGGAAACTCGCGAATATGTATATGTAGAGGTACCCATGGTTTTTGAACATTTAACACTCCTTCCTAACGTCTGCAAGCGCGACTATCACAAAAGTGTTTTTCCGACGAGGTGAGGTGATGGGAAAAACCTTGAGCGATACATTTTGAAGCGAAAGAGAAAGGGAGAGGGGAAATGGAAACGGATGAGGGAGAAAGAAAGGTGGAGGAATCTAGAGAGAGAAAGAGATTGAGCGAAACCCCTCCCGACGATGACTGCTGCCCAATTTGTTTTGGCACCTTCACTGTTCCTTGTCGATCCAACTGCGGTCATTGGTATTGTGGTAATTCTCCTAACTTCTTCTTCTTCTTTCCTCAATCTATTTGGTTGGTACAGTCTGAGTTTGGTTTTGCTTGGTTGGTGAGAGAAATTCAAAATGGAAAAGAAAGGGAAAGAAATAGGGTTTTTCTCTTAAAACTGGATGTTGAACTTTGAATTTTAGGTTTAGGTTTTCCTTTTACCATAATATTTATCATATAACTTAAAATTTTCACTTTTTTCATTCAAGATATCCTCAGGAAACTATTTTCAAATAGTATAGTCTGTTTTACATTTTCTGGTTTATCTATGGTGCTGCTTATGTGCAAGGATTTATTGATTTTCTCGGCTTAAGTAAGTAGGTACATTGCTTGAAGAAAAGAATTTGTGCAACTAGGAAAGAAGTCTCTTTTGCTTCATTGGTTTATTCTGTTTATTACTTCACAGTGAGATTAATAAAAATCAGGAGGCTTTGTTTATGGGTCCTTTTTGGGGTTCATAACTTTTTCTTTCTTTCTTTCGATTTACAAGCATTTTCAGCAGGATTTGTTTCTTTTATTTTTTGCCCTTTATTTGCTGGTAACTTAGTGAGATTGTTTTTTACTCATGTAAACAGGAATAGATTTTAGAACTTTACCTGGACTTGTGATCCTGGAGTGGCAAACGCTCAACTATTAGTATAAAGGAGGTTGCTGAATGCTTTTAATCTTTTTCCCTCGTTAGAGGAGGAATGGTGGTGTTGTTGTGTGGGGCTTGGCGTTTGAGCTGTTTGTTATTTGCAAGTTCCTATGCATTTACTGTTTGTCTTTTGCGGTCATTTCTCCAGCAGACGCACTTTTATTTACTGTAACTATTGTTCTAGGAGTTATGTTCCATTGTTGTGTGGCCAATGCCTTGACCCACACACCTGCTCCCCTAACAATTTGCTTTTGAAGGAAAGGATTGAGTTTCAGTGTTTGTGAATGCCCATTTGGGAACAGATTTACATGTTGTACCTGCAATCATCTGTCCTCAAAATGGTTCTTGTTTCCCCTCTTCCTCTTTTTGCTTTTGGCAGGCAATTGCATTTTGCAATTCTGGAACTATTCCTCAGCATCTAAGCCATGCAAGTGCCCCATGTGCACTTGCAAGATTCTTAATTTAATGCCAGAGGCATCATTACAACAGCAACAGGACCAGGAAGTTATGGAGGTACTTAAAAGTGTACAGAGGTATAACCTTCTCTTTGTTGGAGGTGCTCGTGGTCTTGTTCAGGTATGTGTGGTAATGTAGTCTTTTCTAGACTCTGTTAAACATATATGCGAAGTGGATTTTGTTGTTTCTTTCTCTGTTTCCTTTGACACAATTTTAAACTGTAATGGCTTTAATTTCAGTGATCCTTTTAAGAATACTGACTATGTTGTAGATGTTCGTAGATGTTACTCTATCATAAATGGCTCTGTCATTGTACATTTGCATCAGAGGTGAATTACAGAAGAGTTCTATTTTTTGGCGTTCATCTTAACAATCCTCATGTTTGCTTCTTGATTATTGGTTCATATATTTTGCCAGTGTAACATAGCAATCTTTTGTTCTGTTGCAAGCAGGCATGTGAACATTTTCTTCCTTCTTTTCTTAACAGAAAGTGCGTGAGTTACCATTCTTCGTCAAGAGAATGTTACAGGCGTTGATGGATCCTGATACAAATGATTCATATCTTGCTGAGATGCGCCTTTTTGCAGTTAAGTTCATTAAAAATATACACTGTGAAGTATATAAATATGCGTGTGTGCAAACTAGTACTGATTTATATAAACATGGTATACATATATAGCATTTTATACATTTAAAAGAAAAAGAGGAAAAAAAAAGGAACTGAGAGAAGGCTGGATATGTTGATATGTTCAAATGTATAAGTTGATCTTTTTCCAGTACCTAACATATGTAATGACTTACTTCTATTGTTTCTGTAGCTTCATGACTGTTTACTAACCTCTGTTGAAGTCTTACTGTCTTTCTTGTGTTCCAGATGGTGCTAAGTATCCTCTACAGAGCTACACCATTTGATTTCATTCCAACAGGTAAGTTTTTTGCAAGAGAAATGCTTTTCATTTTCAGTGTCAATAGGATGATTATTGTAATATTGGTGCATGTGGATTTTCTTTTATCATTTTGGTGTTGGAGAGACTGCTAGTGCACACTGTAAGATTTATGCTAGTCAAATGGATAAATTAGTCTTGTCTGTATTGCAGGGGGTCTGGGAATTGGAAGAGTGTTTGATTTTTCTGCTGTTACTCTGGTACTCATCCTGCGTTTGGTGGGCATCTATCGCAGAAGACGACTTACGCAGCGTGTGAGGCACCTAGCAGCCATGGAACTTTTACAGGAATGAACTTCTATGATTTTTAAGGCACGTTATGTGTTTTTCTATTCCTGGTGACTGAAAATAGCTGTAAATTGTCTAAATATGTGTGAAGGAAGTTAAATTAGGTTGTACATTCCGGTAGATTGAATAAAAAATAGAGCAAGATGCTTTGGGAGGAGTGGCTGATTGATTTGAGTATATGCGGCAGTAGGTGTTTTGCGTGTCTATCAGCTACTTCTATGTACATAGAAACGCTGCAACTCTTAGCATAGGTTGCTTTTACTAACTTGTTCGTCCCGTTGTTCACCTCTAATATATTTGTTTGTTAAGTATTATGATAATCCCAAGAAATGAAAATGCTGGTGATTCATGTTAACTTTAGCAAAACTAATGTATTTCTTTGATTTGGTATATGTAATATCTATTCAAATAGTAACGTTTCCTACTGAAATAAAGGGTAAAATACTGACATATTTTAAGTTTTAATCAAAATTTTACATGCAATTCATTAGTATGAAAAATAATTTATTTAAAAAATTACTGTTTGTTAGACACATAAGTGTAACCGTTAAGATTTTGTCGATATTTTCATTAATTTATTGATGTGATCATATTTTCGAATAATTTTATTTTTTATTAATTTTAAAAATTATATTATATAAATTATAACTTTTATTTTTTAAAAAAAATTTTATTACAAAAATTATTTAACCTTTACTTTTTATCTCCCAAACGGTCGACTGGTGACACTCTTGTCTTTGGCCGGCCAGATCTTTGGCTGAGCTCCTCTGGCTTGAAGAGCACCTGATGGTGCTCCTTAAGCCAGGGGAGTCGAGTGCTCCTAGGCCCTGGGAGCATGGATCTGGTTCTCCCAAGCTTGGGGAGCACAATTTGATGTTCCCCTAGTCTGCGTAGCACGATCTGGTGCTCCCTAGGTCAAGGGAGCATCGATCTGTGGTTTTTTTGAGAATTCGATCAAATTTGCAATCGTGAAACGGTCGGTCAGTGTTCATTGTCCAACTTAAAAGAGAAAGAATGAAAAGAAAAAAAGAGGGTAATTTGAATGTCATGTTTAAGTATTAATATTTATACGTTTAAGGTTGAGTGTTTATTTTAAAAATTAATAAATTTGTATGTAATTATGATTAAGAGTTAAAAGTGTTTGAATTTTTTTTAAATAAAAAAATTATGTATTTTAATTTATATAATTATTATATAATTAAAATTAAATATACTTTTATATTTTTACTATAAAGTCATAAAAAATAAAAGACTAAATACCTAAATAAGCTTTTGAATTATGTTAAAAAAATAAATTTAATTTTTATCTTTTTATTATAATTAAATAAATTTTTAAATTTTTATTTTAAATTAAATTATTTTTTTTCTTAATAGTTAATTGTTTTTTCTTAATCAATTATACATGTGGTATTTGAATATCATGTCATCTATCACGTAATTAGTTGACGTGATATTAATTTTTATTAATTAAAATTTATATATTTACCTTTTTACCCATATATATAAAAAAATGATTAATTAAATATTTTAAAAAAATCACCTTCTTCCTAATTTGTTCCACAAACATTATTTTCTTAAACAGATTAAATCCTCTCATTTAAGGTTTAAAAGAAATAAATTAAATTCAAAATAATTTGAAGTTTTCAATCTTCTTTTGGGCTTGTTGGAGCCCGAATTAACTCCAATTTCAGTTGTTATACGTGGCCAGTAATCCATAAATTCATAGGGCCGAATAAAATTCCCATAAAACCCCCGTGAAAATTTAAAATCCCTCACCTCAGCTGATGATGGCATTCCACATTCAAAAATACTAACAGATCTTTCTCTCAGCTTTGCTACTCGGTTGTCACCTCCCAGTCCATCATCCCTCCGATCTCAAGTCTGGAGATAGGAGAAAAGATGGGTCCAGTGAAGAACGTTCGTGCAATCTCGCAAGAGGCCTTCGATGAGTTAGTGAAGGAGAACATGGACGACCTCGGAATGGACCCCACCGAAGCCTTGGAAGACGCCATCCAAACCCTCTCCCTCCAAGGCGTCGATCTCTCCGGTAGTCATTTTCGGCGCCATCCTTCTCTTTGGTTTCATTCTTTTCGCTGGAGTTCGCAATTTTTAACGAGTTTTGCACAATTGATTGTAACAGGGATCGTGAAGTGTGTTCCAGGGGAAGGTGGTGTCAAGGAACACCCAGCGATGCAATGCTTGGATAAACTGAACCAACTAAACGCCGGCTCAAAGGATCAATTCACGCCCCACGATTTAGTTCAAATCACAGGTTTACTTAACAACCTAAGCGAATTATGTAGTGATAAAGTAGAATCGGGAAATGCAGCAATCGTAACCAAAAATGGCGGTGTCGAACTGGTTTGTTCAATCTGTTCTAAGATACCAACTGAATCGCAACAGACTCTCGTTTCTTGTTTGAAGACCATGGCATCGTTGCTAACTGGTATAAAACAATTTAATCATTCTTCTTTTATGTTTAAAGTTTGATAATAGTTTGTGTGTTGAAATTATTTGTTTTATATTCTTGTTGTTATTTTCTAGATGTTCAAAGTACAGAGACTTTTAGGGTGAGCAAAGGACCGGTGATTGTGGTTCGTATTCTTAATATCGATGGAATTCAAGATTTAGACATCTTGAATTCTGGCTTTGCTGTTGTTGCTGCTGCTGCAACTGGTAATGAAGTTGTTAAAGAATCGTTTATGGAGTTAGGAGTTGATAAGTTGATTCTACAAGTTTTGAGTGGACAAACTAAAGGCAGTCTCCAAAGTTTATATGATGCTATACGTGTTCTGTTGATGTCTGATGATAATCGTGTTGTTGCTTCTCAAGTAAGTGGAAAATGCCTGTAATAAATCTATTACGTACTAATGCACTATTATCATTTTTCCTTAAAATGGTTCTGATGTGTTTGGTCCCACCAGGTTTATGGTTATGCACGAAGATTTGCGAAAATTGGAATTGCAAGAGCTCTTGTGGAGTCACTTCATGAAGGGCTTAGTTCACCTAGTCTTGTTTCGGCAAGCATAGCACTAAAGGCTGTTGCTGTGAATGTAAGTTTATTAAAATTGTTTGACATATCACAGACTACTTGATATCAGTTAATTATAAGTTCTTATGGCTTTTAATTTGGAGAGTGTAGAAATATTTTTGGATTGAAGTGATTCAATAGTTTCATTGCACAGAGGCTTAAGACACTAATCAGATATGTGTGACAAACATGGGATTTGAATTCATTATAACGTTTTTTGTTTCCTGCAGGATGAAATATGTAAGTCCATTGCTGATGCTGGTGGTATTGATGCACTTCTAAAGTGTGTTGATGATAGTGGTGAACAAGGCAACAAAACTGTAGCTAGAACCTGCTGTTCATTGCTATCCAAGGTATAGATCTAAACACTTCTGCTGAAAGTCGATTTCATTATTATAATCTGCAGCTTAAAGTTAAGGATTTTCATTTTCTCGTTCCTTTGCTTTTTACCTTTCATGGCATGAAACTTTTTGTGCTGCAAGATTATGTTTACAGCTGTCTTTGTGTTTTCTCATCTGAGAATGTAGAAAAGTCATTTTAAAGAGCTGTAGAATGTTACATTTCAAAATGGGTTTTTGATTATGGGCTCATGTGACTTTGAATAGTGTGCATTCATTATATACTCTTGTAAAAACTCTAAAATGTAATATATATGAATAATCAATACAAGCTTGAACTTAAAGCATTAGTGCATTTTTTTTTTCTTTGGCCAGCTTGCAGGAAGTGACTCAAATAAGAGCGCTATAGTTGAGAAAGGAGGTATGGACAGGCTGATCAAACTGTCAGCGAGATTCTCTGATGACCCGGCTGTGCTGCAAGAGGTAAGGGACCAGCAATTCTTGTTCCACTAAAATGCGTAATTATCAGGTTCACAAATCATTTTAATGTTCTGCTCAAGTGGAATTCACTGTCCATGAGTATTGGTATAACATGATAGTTTCACTGTCATCCTGGTTATCTGATGGTGTTAGGAACTCTTGTCGTCAGAGATAGCAGTTATGGGTTGGCAAACAGCTAGCTCCTTAGATTTCTCCCAAAAATATAATGGTTGGAAAAGTCATGTCCATTATGATATGATGTATGCAAGTATAATTAGATAGAGTTGGGATCATGATGAATCATTTTATCATAATTTTTAGGTCATGTCCATTATTTCTGTACTCTGCTTGAGATCACCAGACAATGCAACTCGTGCCATTGAAGCTGGAGCAGCGGAACTTGCTATTCAAGCCATGCAGAAGTTTCCTGCTGCTCAGCAAATGCAGCGAAGTTCCTGTCTTATGATTCGAAATCTTGTTGTGAGGAACCCAGAGAACAGGCAAGTTTTATGAATATTTGCTGAGTTCTTTACAGATTCTGTTGCAGCACTTTGTTTTAGTTGTATTAGAATATGCACTGCAGTGAAAACTTGATTTATGGGAAACCACTGTCTTGTGCAGAATCCTTCTGCTGAATAATGGGATTGACAAGTTTATCAGGAAGGCAAAGGAAAATCATGAAAGCTGCAAGGATGCTGCTACTGATGCGCTAAGGGATTTGGGTCTTGATAACTATAACTCATAGTTAATGCCTATGGGTTTATTCATTTTGGAACTTCACTTAATTTTGTTTCTGATTTTGATTTTGTGGTGAGGTTGGCCGTGTCATATCATCAGTTCAGGGAAGTTCCGTTTTTTGTGAGGTTGGCCATGTATTGAATGAGGTTAACTTGCTATAATTTTGGAGGCATGCGTTTGTTACAATGACGACATAACATAGAAGAAATTATCACAATGGGCATAATCATTAAGGGAAGTTTGTGGTTTCAGAAAAGAATGTGCAGGGTTACTCTGAGATACCGGATGCCATTCCTTGGCATAAGATCATCGCCATGTAAAGCACTCTGGGAGGCAAACTTTGCAAAACTTTTGGCTTACAGTTTGGCAATGGACTTGAGGTTGTAAGGTGTGTTACCTGTATCCAACCCCAACCCACACACAACAGCAAATCCTTTCGCAGATTGAATGAATACTACTACAACTATTAAAAAAACAGATAAACCAAAATTAAGGGCCAAGAAATGCTTGTAAAATTTTCATGAGAATACTCACCAAAAGAGCTTGTCAGAGACAAAATTGTACATTTTATACCACTCCTGTACGGAACACAGATTGTCCGGACTAAAATTTCATTAAGGAATTGATCAGTCTTAGTCTAAATTTCCTACATCCTAAATAACTAGTATGAAAATTCTCATTAGAAATAAGAATTGGTTCAAGCCTCAGATTTGTACAGTTTAATTTGCTGGAATGCTTCCTCTGCTTCCACTGAAACCTGAAAAACATAAAACTACAGCTCCATTATCCTGAACTAACACAACAGTCAGTCCCCAATTTCCATTAGCATGCAAGTGTTCATTAGCAGTTACAGAAAAGTAGTATCAAACAATACAGAGGCTGAACATCCCTACCTACTATTTTGTCCAAAAGGTAAGAGATCCTAATCAAGAAAGCCTGAACCAGATGACACTATCTCACTGAACAATTGAAGCTCTTAACCATCATGGTTATCAGCACCTGCATTGTACATTCCCCAGTTACCACCAAGTATCCATCTCAAGAAATAAAAGAATAAAAGCACACACGATGTACCAGTTGAGTGCGGTTGGAACATCTTACGATACCGTCTTCTCTCCTCATTGCGCCTATCATTGATCTGCTCACCAAGTATTATTGTTAAGCACATTTGTTTATAAATATGCAATGCTACAAGATACTACCAATTTCATTCTATCTGCTAACCTTTTTCATAGCAACAGCAAGCTCTTTCTTTATTCCACCTGAAATGCAAATATATTTCAAAAAAATAGTTATCAAAAAGTCTGAACAAGTTTCACATATTAACTTGTTGACACTATACACTGCCTTGATCCGGTCATCCTGCATATGTAGCAGGCAGGTTTCATGAAAGACAAGAAGCTATATCATGGGCCTAGTCACATGTAGAACTTCAGGTTGCCTATGTTTGGCCAAAGTAAAATTTAAATTAAAAATAATGAGTCAAGGCCAAATAAAGTTGACTACACTTCTCAACATTCCATTGAGAAATTTTCCCATTTGCAACCTGCCAAGCCCTAAAATGAACATACAGGTCATAATCTTCTAAACAGGGAATGATCCAATATTGAGTACATTGTATAGAGACTGAGTCAAAGTCCATCACTAACCATCATTTGGCTCCAATTGCAATGCTTTCTTGAAGCTTTCAACAGCAGCATCAACATCATTAAGTGCCATGTGTGCCTGGCAGATAAGTATCACAATCATTAGGACCAGAATGTGCTTGAATGGACAGAAAATGTAGCATAGAGAAGATAATCAAGAGGCAAGCTGTAAAGGCAGCTTCTAAGAAAGGTCTATGTAATCTTAACCAATTTTTCCCTTAAGAGATGACTAGCTCAGACCAAATATAAGCCAAAGCCACCAGCATCCAAAAGATTATAATATACTTAACAAGGAAAGACACTAACCTGACCTTGGCGAAACAAGGCTTTCACATTGTTATCTCCATCTCGCATTGCAAATTCTGTGTCCAACAGTGCTCCTTTCAGATCCCCTAGTTTCAGTTTACAGGCCTAAAGCCACAAAACCATCAAGGTATTAGAAAATCAAAAAATTGTAAGAAGCCTAAGATTAGTCCAAAGGACAAGTTGACGGACAAGACACAAACAAAAGATATTAAAAGATTAACAGAACAGAAAACTAAGCACAAGTTAACTTGGATAATGATAATGTTTAATCATAATTAGGATATGGAAAAGTAAAGTGATTTCTCACATGGCATTAGACAGCAAATCAGGTTGCAAAATTATTTGAACCTAAAGTGCTCAACAATTGATAAAGTCAGTCAAAAAGTGAAGAATGAATCTTACAGAGCTATTTGTGAATATCTGGGATTTCGTCTTTCTCAAACTTGAACTCTTATCTGCAAAGCCACAACATAGTATATGCAGACCAACCAAGGTGAATTGAGAGTCCAACTACTTTATTGGTAGGCGAATGAAACGATGTACAGCAAAGAAATGTCACCTTCATCAATCCCTTCTTTCTCCCAGCAGATATCTAAATAGCGTAGAGCCTTCCTGTACTTTCTGAGAGCCATCTTATAGTCAAGTTTCTGTTAAGGACATCCATTAGCATAAATGAGAGACCTCAAAGGAGGGTGAAAAGGAATAGGAAAGGAAATGGTGTAGAGAGAGAATGAACAATATATCTAGGAAGCACCATCTTGAAATATCAAAGTGTAACAAGAAGGTTTTATAAGCACCTTGAAATATCAAAGTGTAGGAAGAAGGTTCTATAAGCACAACAACATGCAGCAATGAACCCATTACTGCAAGAATAAACATGCATAAGCCTGTTACCTTGTAATGTTCATTTCCAAAAGCCTTAACAGAATCTACAGCAGTCATCCACCAAGAGAGCTCATTAGGACTCTCATCAAGGTCAGCTGGCCAATCAGGATAAATGTCACCATCATTGAAAAAATTGGATATCCCATCATCTGCCCCCTCAGGGATTTCTCCACAATCAGCAATTGTCACATCAACAGTGGGACAATCAGCTTCACCAGTTGTTACATGTTCAATGGAACGAACAACACCCATTCCTTTGACAACCTTGCCAAATACAACATGTTTTCCATCTAAATGAGAAGTGCGAGTTGTAGTGACGAAGAACTGAGACCCATTTGTGTTAGGACCAGCATTTGCCATCGATAACATTCCTTTCCGTTCATGTTTCAATTCAAAATTTTCATCTTCAAATTTCAAACCATAAATTGACTCTCCTCCAGTACCATCTCCAGCAGATATATCTCCACCTTGTACCATAAAGCCTTTAATAACTCGATGAAAACGAACTCCCTGAAATAATAATAATAAAAAAACCCATATATCATTCAAACTCAACAAAAATAAAATTCCCATCCAAAGGCATATATAATCATTAATACAATGAAATTCTCATTAATTCATGGTTTATGCAATACAGTACTTGCATTACCATAACCTGCGTTGCTATGACTCTTCATTTTCCTAGAAGTATCTAGGTCCAACACATATCTGATGGACATGAGGATGGAGATCCAACCCTCCAAATATACGAAAAATTCGGAAAAAATTGAAAGTACTCATTTCAGACACATATTGATATCTGATTCCTACCCCCGAGTGTGAGTAACATAGACTATAACCAAATTTGAAAACCAAAAGGACAAATTGATATCATATTTTAAAGTCAAAGACTGAATATGAAATATATTTTCTGCGAAAATAAATAAATAAAACCAAGATTATGTTAATGATTCAAGTCAAAGACAAGCACCCTTAAGGTTTTTCTATTTCTAGTTGTCAAAAGATGCAAATCCAGTATGCCAGCATTTCATAGACAAACCACTTATAGCATCACAAATGATTAAGAGGACATTTCTTTAATGTTGCCATCTGTTAACTAATGTGGTTTAGATGGCATTAGCAAACAAAAGAAAACTTGAATCTTAACTCATATGCGGATAGCCAAAACCATCATCAAGGTATTTCAAATGAATTTTTATGTTTCTTTGTTGATGGGAAAGATTAAAGATTTGATGCTTAGACTATAACATGTAGAAAGAATCATAGGCAACCTTAAATCTTGGAGACTATCACAAGTAAAAAAGGGGAAAAAAATCCGAATTCCAAGTATTTCCCATATTCTTGTTCAAAAGATCCATTAGCAAAATCAACTCGCAATATCAATTCAAAGTTGACAACAATGGTCAGTATGAAGGTTTCATCAAAAAATAAATATGGTCAGCATGAAGAACATTCATACAACATCAGGAAAAAAACTATGCAAATATCTCCAAGATTTCTTGCTACTCAGACTCTTCCTACCCCAAAAACAACTAATTCAAAGAAGAAAAAGAAAAACAAACATTTCATTGCAAGAATGCAAAGAGAAACAAAAAATCCAATGACTTTGGATAAAGTCAATGACATCAAAGTCTTTCCATATCACTATAAGCAAAAGCAACATAAACCCAGATAAGCAAAACCCCTACATTTTTACATCCGATACATTAAAAATGATAAGGAAATTAAAAAAAAAAAAAAAAAGGAGAGAAGGAGAGAGGGACCTTATAGTGAAGGGGAACACCAGTGTTAGGACCAATGCCCTTTTCACCAGTGCAAAGGGCCCTGAAGTTCTCTGCAGTTTTGGGTACTACATCATTGTACAGTTCCACTATTATCCTTCCTTCAAGCTCTTCTCCTATGCTTATATCCAAATAACACCTCGGCCTCCTCATCATCATATTCATAAGTCTCTTTTTCCTTTCCTTTTTCTTTTACTTTCTCTTCCCCTTTCTCTTTCTCTTTCTCTCGGTTGCTACATAGTTTTTATGTTTATATATAGAGAGAGATAAAAGTAAATTACCTACTCTTTCCTTCTCTCTAGAGACTTCCTCTCTGTAAAACCCTAGTCCCGCTTTATTTTTTTAACTTAAGTTAATTATTCCAAATATAAAAATGGGGGTCTCTGACTCTTTGGAGTTCGGGTTAGCAGCACCGGTCTCCGCCTCTCTTCTCTCTCTCCGCTTATTGTTTTTCTTTCTTTCTTTTCTTTTTGTTTTTTTCATTCATGACCCAATCCCATTTTTTCCACTTCTCTTTGAATTTGCTTCCAGGAGACTGATTTTTTGTGGGTTTTATAGTTTTACCCTCTACTTCATCTTCAAGTCTAGGACATTTATTGGCCAAACTTAATAAATTCTTTGCATGGATTTTCCTATATATAGTTCTATTTCTGTTATCAGTAAGAGTTATTTATGGTGGAATTAGATCAGATTTTTGTCCATTTTAATCTCATACACTGGCCACTTTTGAAAGCTAGGTTCCTACCTAAATCCATGTTACAAGTGGTAGTGGGTTAGGTCATGAATTATAAGTTACTCAAACGCCCTATATTACTACTACTAAGTGTATTTTCCAGAAATCATGAGTTAGGGCATGAAGCACATTACCCAAACCTCATTTCCAGGACGAAAACAACCCCCCCTTTTTTTTTTCTAATTCTTCTTCACTTGGGAAGTCAAATTTTTAGATTTAATTTAATTATTTTTAAATGATATTATATTAAATTAAAATATTTTATATAATCAAGTAAGTTTATATATCACGTCAAGTGTTTAAAAATATATGAATAAAATATTTTAATTTCATATTAAATCGATAAAAAATTTTACAAAGATTATAAATGCGAACGATGTAACTTGCATATTCTATTATATTAATTTTTTCAGAGAAAAAAAGTTAGATATAGGTGTATTTTATTATGATGAAAAAAGAGCCCTTCAATAATATAGGTAAATAATGAATTGTGAAAAGAAGATAAAATAGATTGAGGTGGTGGGACTCAAATAATGAAGAAATCCATCCAAAGTTTGATGTAGGAGAGTACAAAGGGCAACGGAACTGACAAGATTTGTTTGTTTTTAACAGCTTTGGGTACACCAGCACACGGAGATGTCAACCAGGATCCTTCTTTTGTATTACACACAGAAATCCTGGAATCTTTGCTGCTACCTTATCTTATATATAATTTAATTCATCAGGTAAGGTGGGATAAGCTGATAAAATCATTAAACATAAGCTCAGATTGTGCGCACTACGCACAGATGTGTTAACCTGTCCATGTAAGTTGGTGAAGCTGCACCATTTTTGGAGTTTTTGTCTTTGTTATCGTCGTCTGTTTCCAACAACAGTTTCTTTAAGAGAAACATTTTCCTGACGACATTGCCTATTCTTCTTTGCTAATTGGAATGAACCAAGTGACCCACTATACAAAGAGGAGATTGCCTATCTATTATATATTACTAATTTTCCCTTTAAATTTGGGAGAAAAAAGAAAGGCTATTGTATAATAATAAGAGCCTAGTGGACGTGGTATTAGCTTAAGATTTATCGCCTAAATGCCGTACAGTTGGAATAAACTTAAACCACCCAAATTTGGTTTTCGACGAGGATTGGAGACCAAGGCCATGATTTTAGCATTGCTAAGTACAATGCCTATGTTACGCCCACTAAAAACAGTAGTTTCTTTTTCTTTCTTTCCAATCTGATTCACTGCCAGTGGTATGCAGCTCAAGAGAAGCCCACATAACCACTCCTAGTGGGTCCACTGAAAAGGCCGACACAATGGCAAACCCAATTTTCTATTGGGGAACTCGTAGCAGCCACTTATCCAGGGCCTGTTTTCTTCGGATGTGTAAATTGAGTCCACGCAAGAATGACTCAGTCATTGCCATTTCCCACTTTCAATGGCAAATAAAGCAAATACGATTTGTAATTTTGTGTGTTGATGCTGCATTAGATCACTTATTTGACTAGAGAAATGCTGTGGGGCTTTGAGAATGGAAACATGACGGAAGTTTATATAGTGATACGTTTGGAAGTTTTCATGGAAAAATAATGGATGGGATTCGAGACGGGCTTTGCATCATCCACCCTACAGATGCAACTTACTGATTGATTAGGTGTTTTTGCCCCTGAAAGATTAAAGGAAAGATCAAGCAAAGGCAATCAGATTATTCACAGTGAAAGTGATACATAAGTTTTCAAGTCTAAGATAAGATACATCATGCTTTACGGATATTCGTTTTGATATGCGGAGAGTTGGCCACCATGGGCAAAAAGAAGACCTTGAAAGCATAAGAGAAGCCAAGCTTTTTAGATGGATGAAACCATTTTCCATAGAGAGATTAAGCACTGGATACGGCTACCTGAATGTGAGGTTCGAGCCTACAAAAATTCTCTCTCGAAAAAGGGCAAGAAAAGTAAGCAAAGATCATCCCTCCCTTTCAAACAACAGCCACAGGCCATGAAAGCCCAATTTTCACCATTCCTTATCGGGCTTACAGGTCTAGCATATTTCGGCAGTGAAACTGTCTTTCACGATGTTGACATGGGCTGAAAATAACAAAGGCCAAGAAAGCCCAATATTTCCTCCATAGAGGTCACCAGGCATCAACCCAGCAACAGCCAACAGGTTTTGTCTGATTGGTAGCAAGGCCTCCAGGCTCCTAGTCTCCAATTTTCTTGAGGAATTCCTTCCAGCATATTTGTTTTTACCTGCACAAAGTGAAATTCCCATAGTGGAAAAGCAACTATAGATAAGATCACCTCTATAAAAAGCTATCAGCTGGAGACATACTTGATCTAAATTATTCAAAGAAAGAGTAACACTAATCACTGCTGATAATATAATTTAATCAACCTCTTAACAGAGTGGTTAACCAATCGGGCTCTCCCGGGAGTGGTTTGCCCATTGCAGAAGTTGCCACTCCGAGATATGACTGACAGCAGAATCCAGGAGGTGGACAGGAACTAAATGGAAAGTATGAAGGAAAAATAAATAAAGAAAGGACAGTACAGATTTGTACCCAGTAACTGTCCTAGGGAGAGTCAACTTTTTTCACCACTTGAGCTGACAGGTGATAATGGTCCAGGGAGGTAACTGAGACAAAAGCTGCCCAGATCACATGCTTTTTTTTTTTTTTCCAAAATCAATCGTGTGACCCCCTTAACCTCGTGATGCTACCGATATTTACCATCCTACAAAATGGGTTTATCCCTGTCAAATTTCCCCTTAATTTTTGACTAGAAAGGGGCAAGACAAAATTTTCTTGTGCCCACTTTGGACCCACTTTTTCCATCTGTCTTGCACCATTTTTGATCCTTTTGTTTGATGAGAAAAATACCCAGTGAATTTGGTGATCCATTCGAACCGACTTTCTAGTCAAACTCACTGTTTCACGTGAAGCAAAAACAGACATTGCTTTCCTATAAGTTTTCACATGCCAAATACAATGAAAAAGTTATTTTGATATTAACACTTACCCAAATGATAGCACAGTAGTTAGTAGTTTAGAGAAGAAGAAAAGCAGAACATCAAGCATAGGTACCATTTAAGAACTTAACAATGTCAGTCCATGTTTTCAACTGTGGTTCTTTCCATGATGATTTCTTTGCATCTATTTGCTAGTAAAAAGTAAAGCAATTTAGATATTACATTATTTTTTAAAAACGTAATAAAAACAGACAAGACATTAAATATAAATTTCTTTTTTAAGTGTCTAACTGCATTGGCTACCATTCTAGGAATAAAGCAGACCAATCAATTTGCATTGGAATAACCAGTTTTGTGTTTTGTCTGAACAGCATTGACAACACCAAATTTCTCACCATTATTTATTAATGGCTCTCTCTCTGTCTTGGTTGGGGAACCCAGAGTCCCCAAGGTGGCATGACAGCCAAAATTCTACTGTCTCATGTTGCTAACAAAGGAATGTGAACTTTTAAAAATGCAATCTGTGTGGGAGTGCAACTTAAGAACAGTTGATGCAGAAACAAAAGAGGAAGGGAAAGAGAATCCAATGGAAAACCCAACAGAAAATAAATGAAGACAATAATGAGGTATGCAAATACACCAAAAAGCTGAAAGACCCAACAAACTATAAAGCAACGCTCAATCTTGCCATCAATGCAAATAATGAACATCTACCCAATTTCACAAATTTTAATTGTACATTCCAAATTTACCGTTCATAATAATTGTCATAATTATTACACAATAAAAATTCTCAAATTTTGTAAAAGAAAATACTAATTTATATACCCCTCTAAGATTACTTATAGTTTTTTTGTCAAAAAAATTGTTTCTTTCAATCTAATTATTGTCATGAATGAATCATGAAAGAACCCAAGAGAACAATGGCATTAACATTAAAAATTGACAAAAATCTAATTAAAAAAAGAAGAAGAGAGAATCCCATTTTTTTCACATACAATGAGAGTATAACCATGAAGGCAATAAAAAAAAAAAAAGAAACCCAAGAATATTAATAATCAAGATTCACTGCTACTTCCATGTTGCTTTTGTCCTTGAACTTGAGCTTGTTCGATGTCTTCTTCTTTGATCTCTTGTTGGGTCTCCTCTGCAGGCACCGCAACTGGCATCTCCTCCGTGGGCCGGGAAGGAGGAGGGTCGACCCGACCGTCAAGGCAAGAAGAGCATTTCCTCTCAACCCAACCTTCAAAATCGTACTGACCATGGCCCATGATAGGCCGCCCTGAACATAGCCTCCCAATCATACCGGCTATGACTCCAAGTATTGTGATCACTGCTAGAACCGCTATGACGGGTCCAACCGAACCGTGACCCGTATGGGCTGTGTAGGCTTGTTGGCTTACTCCTACGGGTGGTGGCTGCTGCTGCTCTACTGGTGTAGACATCACCAAGAACAAGAAAGAACTTCTTTAAAATATATGTATATTTGAAGATGTTTCTCTTTTTTTTTTCCTTCTTTTTGGGGTTTTTGAAGGGTTTAAGCTTCTTAGTTTGCAAAGAAGCGATGGAAAATGGTGACTTAGAAATGGGGTCTTCTTTTTGTTTCAGGCTTGGATCATGAAAAGCAAAAGAGAAAGAAAAGGTTACCAAAAAAAGTTTAATGGGGTTTTTAAAGGGTTTAGGGGAGAGAAAAGGGTGGAGTTAAAGAGGCCGGGGGGAAATGGAAAAAGTAGGGAAAAAGGCAAAATAATGTGCAAGGAGTTTCGTGTCGTTTGGTGTTAAACTGTTGCCAGAGCTTTTCTTCGAGGATTATTCAGTTAATGTTTTCATTTTCTTTTTCTTTTTCCAACTTAAGAGAGAGAATGTTCAGGGGGAAGGGGAAATGGACAAAACCCTTTTCAGATGGAAGAGTTTCCTCAGGAACTTTTCTGGTGTCCTGCAAGAAATACTGAAACTTCAATACCTACTTTTGCACATTTGTTTTAGGGACGACTTTTTTTAACCGTGTTTTTAAACTAATTTACTTTTTAATTTTAACCGCTAAGAGAAAAATTTTTAAACAAAATTATTTTTAATGAGATTTTTACATATTCAAGCGCCGTACTTTTTGTTTTTAGTTTCTTTTTTTGTTTCTGTTGTTAAACATCATTTTTTTATGATTATAAAAAATATAACAAATAAAATACTCAAAAGTAAATTATTTAAATTAAAGAGTTTTGGATAATATCTTTTTTTTTAAATCTATTTTATTTCAAACAGTAACTTTGATGTTGAATAAATTTTTAATACATTTTCATTTAGATATTAAATTTTTTTATTTTAAATATTATTTTTATTAAAAATGTGTTTAACTCTAAGAGTTTATGTTCTAATAAAATATAAAAATAAAGAACAACTTACATGTTATATTTAAAAAATATTATTATTACATGCTGTGATAAAAAAAAATATTATTACAATTGAAGAAAAGTTATTGCACGTTTTTTACTTTTAAGAGCTTATATTATAATGAAATATAAAATTATAAGTTACACATCATTTTTAATAAATGTTATTGTTATAAAATGACATTGCAAATCTAAGCAAATGTTACATACCAAGATTTTAATAACAGATGTTACACGTTAAGGTCAAAGTTTTAACACCAAATGTCATACATTAAGATCAAAGTTTCAACACTAGGATATTATACTCTAAAGTCAAAACTTTAGTACAAGATATTATAGGTCAAAGCTTCTTTATTTCCATTGAGGTTACAAGTCAAAGGTATGCGTTATCATACTTGAACTATTAAAAAACTTAACATCTATAAATCCAAGAACTTATTGTTATTCATCATATCATGCTTTTTGATATAAAATTTGAATATGCGAAAGCGAGAAATAGATAAAAAAAAAATTTGTGAATGTAAATTAATAAATTTAAGAATATGTTGTTACTTTTCATGTTATACTTTTTGGTTTATAAATCGAAAACGATATAACGAGAGATAGATAGAGAGATGATAATGGTAGTAAAATTAGAAAGAGCTTGATGGTTAGAGAGATAAATAAAAAGCATAAGGAGAAAAATTGAAAGAATTAATTTGTTTGAAATAGTTTTAAGAATATTTTTATCATTTTATAGTTAAAATTAGATAAAAATGAATAACTTTATATTAAAATTTATTTTTGAAATGAACTTATAAGAAGAGCATTTTTCACAAATTTATCTTTATTTTATAAATATGGAAAAAGCCCGAAGGAACTTCCATGGGTAAATGTCCTCTATTTATGAGCTGGAAACCTCTGTGCTTGGAAAAGTGAGTATTTTCACCTACAGTACTCCACTTTTAGCGATGCTAACTTTCAAACCATGAATAGTAGAGTGAATATCTGCAGTCTAAATGCATGCCTGAACATTATTTTTGTATCACATCCATTACTAGACTTCAGGATTTCCCCTCTTTTCCAGTTTTTTGAATCCAAGAGCTCACATAAGTGTAGTGCCTTTAGGAAATTAAGCTTTGTTCTCTTAGTATAATAGAAAGTATTCTTTCTGGTGCTGTCTTCATCTTGTTCAAATAAAGTGCTCTCCAACAAGGAAAAAAAAAAAATTATGGAGCTTCTTTTACTTCATTTCTCTACTTTCTATGGGCCTAAGCTGCCTTGCTCCATCAGGCAACTCATTATTAGTTCTTCAAAGTTGTTTTTGTATGCTTTGCCTTTGTTAAAGGTCAAAAAGTTAATAACATTATTTTTTGATTTATATTTTTTAATCTTTTGGATTACCAAAAAGTTAAATAATGTTGAAACTTTAGGCCAATTGATCCATCTCTTTCTTGCTTTTAGTTATGATTAATTTTTAAAAAAAATCACGTCTCTAAAGATTGGGAAAAAATAGTTGTTAGCAACAAATGATGCATTTTGGAAGGTATTAGTGTTAATAACTAGATAAGCATCAATAATTATGTTGGCTATGGGGAAGATAGGGAACAGACCAATAGTTAGTGCTTGATTAAACATGGCTAGTAGGACAATCACTGACAGGTTATAGTGTCTTGGACCCAATAGTTTCATGATCATAATTTTTCTTTTAATATCGAATATTGGGATTTCGAATATCAAGAAAAAAATGGTGAAGTTTGAGTTTGTTATAGAAGAAAAAGGAAGGAATTATACGACTTCTACAAGTTCAGGGCAGAAATAGTAATTTCCAATTATGTTGCAATTATGGTTCCATGGGGATTTAATGTAGCATAAAAGGGGCTGGTTATGGACAAATATATTCAATGCTGCACTTGTTTGAGCAATATTGATGGAAAATGATTGAATGATGAATAATAAGAGGGACATCAAAAGCAGTCCAAAAAGGGAGCCAAAAATTTTCAAGTCTAGCAAAAGGGCTAAAATCTTGAATGTTTTAGACTTCTAGCTCTCTTGGAGCTTCCCCTCAAGGATGAATTTTTTTGAAGCTGCAGGTCTGTGTCTAGTAGACACCACACTACACAGATAAGTTGTCAGAGTGGAGAATCTAATCTGAAAGCAGAGGATACATCTCAGAGTGATGATGATGATGAAGATAATGATGTTGATGATTATGATAGTTCATGATACACAATACTTCTGATGCAGTCAAATACACCAAAACAGAAACAAGAAAAAAAAAATGGTGGTGTTTTTGAAAGACAAGGACATAGATCTCAATGGGGCTGTACAAAGGTTGGTCAGGCATCCAACAGCTTTTCTTTATATTCCTTTTTGAATCCAAGCACTCATTGTCGGCTTCTTTATTGAATCTATGTGCATTCGAGCAGCTTAATTTTCTCCTCAGAACTCAAAATGAAACCTGACGTTGATCCTAAGCGAATGTGGAAAGCCAAAAGGAAAGGGGAAAAAGAAAGCATAAAATAAAATATGTAGATGAGCTGGGTGCAATACCGAGTTCTTTGTGTTCATATTGCCTCTGGGAGGTGCATTTTGTCAATCTAACCTGCCAAGATTATATATTTGAACCCAAAAAAAAAAAAACTCAAATACTAGTGTAAAGATAGTTTTTGTTCGATTTTTCTGATGGAGCAAATGGTGGAATCATCCAGCTGAGATAAGAACACCAAATTATTAATATATTCACAACCCTTCTTGGTGCATTGATTGAACTAGATAAGTTCCATACATAGACCAACATTTCAAATACTAGCAATTTATAAGTTCACAGACCCGCACTTCTTTCTAATTTGTCCCTTCTTCCCTGTGAGTACACCGAGATTACCAAGCTTCGCCATTGATGTGGTAAAATCATTCCTGAAAAGGTAAAGATTCATGCTATAGGAATTAACCATTGCAGCAGTTTTTGGATCCTGCATTAGTGCTTGATCGGATTCAAGAAGCCCTGCGTTGTTAACAAGGTTTGTGTAATACATATTGTCAAATCTATAGGTACTTGCAGAGTCAAGGGGAGCGAGATTGGTGTTTGAGGAGTCTACGTTCGGACACATGCTTTGCAAGCTACTGAGGGCTGAAGCATCAAGTGTAGGGTCAGGTCTACCAGTGCCCTGGAAGTTGAAGAGTCTTCTCTTGAAGGTAAAACATTGAGCATAGCCTATGGTATGAGCTCCTGCGATAGACACAAAAAAGATAAGGCATCTATATCAATTAAATTTGCCATGATTAAAATTTATTGCAGAAATGACATATTTAATGCTGTATGTATGTGACAGTGTTAAGAATCTTAAATGTTTGACTATAGTTTTTGGTGATGCTTCATGATCTGTACTAGTCCACAAGACCACCACTATGCAAGAACTTTTTCACTTTCAAATGCCATGGAAATAGAAATGAAATTATTTGGGTAAGTCCTATCCATCAAGTCGTCTTTGAAAAAGGAAAAAGAAAACAATAGAATGAGAGTTTTAAGGCACATTGACTCTGAGCAATTTGTTAAGAAAAAGAACCTGAGAGGACTACAGCATCCTTGAGGTCAAGACCCTTTGATGTGAATTTGGCAGTGATATTTTCCATGGGCTCAATAGGTGATGGTAATTGTTCATTAGCTGCGTGCTGACTAGCAGTTGTTCCATCTCGTCGCCCTAGCAAGACTGGCCAGAAAGGCCCTCCTGACTGATAAGACAGAAATCGTAGAAAGGAACACAATTTAATTCATCTGAGAATTGATTTGCAGCTTACAAGCCATAAACATAAACATGTCAATTACCAAGACAACAGCTTCCCTTGCTGCAAGAGTCAATATATCCACACAGGACACGGTTGATGGGCAAAATCTTTCAACATCTGCTTTTATATTGTCAATGACTTCGAACCCTCGAGCAGAGTTACGGTTTGGAAAAGCATTCTTCTCGCCCTGGAAATTTTGTGTCATCAAGAAGCACCGATGCATCACAGCCCTATGCCAGAAAGAAAAGTTCTAAGCAAATTTAAGTCTTCATACCAGGCCGATTTAGTAAACACTAGACAGTGAAATATATTATACACTGCAAAAGTCCATGTAACATGAATGATACGTTTGACTAATGATATTAATGTCCTAATTGAGAATCTCAATTTTGTATATTTATCATGTTTTCTTGGAAATTAAAATCACAAGGATAAATGATTAAAAACGTAGCAATTGTTCTATTTATTAAATTGACTCCAAAGATAACCTTAGGCTCTGCTTGATTAGGGAAGTTGTAATGGGCA